TGTTCTTTAGCAAGCTGCTTGGATGTTTGCTGCACACCAGTTCCACCTCTGGACATTACACTTGTCAGCATAGGCTTCAGGCCAAGACTGAGAGAAAATAGTGTTGATGGCTTTTTTGGCCTTTTACAGATTGGGGAAAGATATACTCCAGAGCTCTGCAAAGGAAGATAAGATCAACTAAGAAACTTTCTGTCCTGCTTCAGAGATGAGTAGAGGTTAGAAGGATTGCACATGAATAGCTTCAGTTATTTCTCTCAAGTTACACTTAGAAGAGTCATAGTAAGAGTTCCAGATATATTACCTGTGGAGTTGAGAGCACCATCTTCTTTCTAATTTCACATGATTTGATGCACAAATTACGAAGCCACAAGTGGAGAGTGGAACAGAAAAATAAAACCTAAAAATATTTTTTTGGAGCTTAGCTGGGTTCTGTAATGGAGTAGAGCTAAACTGAGGCAGAACTGTTGAGAGAAAGCACTTGAGTTCAGTGTACTCTCATCTTGCAAAATGCTAGTGTTGTTCAGTTGTGTGAGCTTCTTAAGTAATAGAAAGATGCATAGACTTTGAGATTTTCAGTGAAAAAAAAAGGCATTAACCCTAACAGAGAATTTTTCTAAATAGAGTACACAAATCAAATTAAGAATTTTTGTGCTCCAGTCATGTGACTTCCTCCTTGTTTTGTTGATAACCTCTTCTGTGTGCTCTTTAGGGATTTACTTAACAAACATTCTGAAAACAGAAGAAGGCAACCCTGAATTTCTAAAGCGGCATGGGAAAGAACTTATAAACTTCAGCAAGAGAAGAAAGGTAGCTGAAATAACAGGAGAGATACAGCAGTACCAGAACCAGCCATATTGTTTAAGAGTAGAATTTGACATCAGGGTAAGTGGCACTCTTTTGAATTCATGTAGGTTCACTCAGACTGAATCAAAGATGAGCAGCAGACCTGTCATAAAATCTCTCTTGCCTCTCCCTGTAAGAAAGGGCAAAAAGCAAAATGATTTGCAGTTTGATGGGTTTGGGTGGTGTTGTTTTTTCCCCAGCTAATCAGGTGTTGGAAGGTAGATCTTATTGCTGATCAGTGTTAGGCAGAAACAGAAACTACCAGATTTTCACTGTCCTTCACTCAGATATATTTATTTGTCCAGTAAGCCCAGCTGTTTTTTTTCATTCTGTGTTACGCTGCCTTTATGTTTCCAGATTTACCTGATAGCTCGTGGCTTTTACTTTATGTGGTGACAGTGATGCTCACATTCTTCTTTCTCATGACATTTGTTCTTGTTAATCTGTGGTATTTTCTAAGCAGTCCTCCCTCCTTTTCCCTCCACCCCCTTTTCCCTCCACCCCCTTTTCCCTCCACCCCCTTTTCCCTCCACCCTTTATTTTTTTCACAAATATGTTCTGAGCTAGAGACTTTCACAGAGTCATAGGACAGATAGTCTTAAGAGATTCTTCAATGTTTTCTTTTGCTATTTGTTTTCATTGAGGTTTGACAGAATGCATTGTGAAAGCAGTCTTCCCTGCATCAGTGTAAAGATGGACTACATACAGCTTCTCCTGAAGGTGTTTGGGCTAACCTGGTCTGGTTTTTTCACTGTAGGAAGTATTTGGGGTACTTGCAGAGTTGTTTTTCAGGCCAAGCATAGCAGTAGCAAATGCCCATTGAAGGGCTGGCAAGAAACACATTTAATAACTTCAAAATCTATCATTAATGCTGACTCCATTTTCTCTCTTCTCTGGAACAGTTGGGATTATTTGCGCAGTAGAAACAAACAAGTTTTCTACCTTCTTGTGTTTCAGAGATTTTTTGAAAACCTGAATCCAATGGGAAACAGCATGGAGACAGAATTTACAGATTATCTGTTCAACAAGTCACTAGAGATAGAGCCACGAAATGTCAAGCCTCCACCAAGATTTGTTAGTATCTTTTTTTTTTTCAAGAAATGTTTATCTTCGTCTTTCATAGAAAGCAGAAGTCATTTTAGATCTCTAACTTCATAAATACAAAGCTACATTTAGGTGGTCTTCTGGACTTTCAATTTTGTTTGATGTTATCTTTTTTTGTCATTTCAGCCCAAAAAATACAGCTATCCTCTCAAGTCCCCAGGCGTTCGTCCCTCTAATCCAAGGCCAGGTACCATGAGACATCCTACACCCCTGCAGCAGGAGCCAAGGAAAATCAGTTACAGCCGCATCCCAGAGAGTGAGACTGAAGCTACAGCATCTGCACCGAACTCTCCACGGACACCTTTGACCCCTCCCCCTGCTTCTGCTACTTCAAGCACTACAGATGCCTGCAGTGTCTTTGACTCTGATCCTTCCAGTCCTTTTCATGCAAGTAGGTGCTAACAGATAGTCTACCAAGGATGTGAGCATTAGATTTTGTGGTATGAAACATGTGAAGTCATCTTTAGCCTTCTAAAGTGACTATAGAAGTAGTTGCTTTTTTCTCCTGGCAGCAAAAAAAATTTGCAGTGTGTTTTATTCCACGTGTTTATTGTAAAGGGAGACATTGAACAGAATTAGGTGTGTTACATAAAAAGTATTACATGTCTTTGGAAAAACTGTCAAAACAGAAGGCAGAGATAATCTCTAGTGCCCATATATGTCCCAAACAACATTTGTGGAATTTTCTCCCACATATGTATATATGTGGTGAATGTGTTTGGTGAGTATCTGTTGGATGGTGAACAATGAGAATAAAAACTAGTATTTTGTGGATCCCTTGTTCTGCTGTCTGCCATTCCGAGATGGTTTCAGTGCACATTGATGCTTTTCCTGCAGAACTTTAAGTCAGTATACCCCTGCCTTAAATCCACACCTGTTTTTCTTCTGTCTTCACCAACATACAAGGAAGTTCATATTTTATATTTCAAAGGAAGGACAAGGTTAGTCTTGTGTTCTGCTGGTTGAGACAAGAGGTGAAGTTGCTTAGCAGAGCAGTGGCATTACTGAGTGTCCAGGTCTCTGGAATACCTCTTCAGAAGATAGTTTTCCACTGTTGGGCTGGCCCATCAACTGGAGGTTCAGGATGTTGTTTTAGTGCTGTTGTGATATGAGAACATATTTGTGGTGTGGTTTTGATCTCAGACATTACTTAATATGAGGGAACTGATGGCAGTAGATGATTGCAGCTCAGACAAGCAATTTGTATGGAAGCTGCAAATTAGAGGGTTATTTCACTTTCTTTAATACCTTGATTCATGCTGCTTTTTATGAGCAATTTCTTTATTATTTATTACACCTTTAAAAGCAGCAATAAAGGAAATGTACCGAGTTGAACAGAAGTTCATTATTATTGGGATTGGGGTTTTTTTTATGTCCACTAGGATCTGCTTCTGTGTCATCCATAAACTTTACCAAAAATTCAGATGAAGCTCACGTTCCCCCTCCAGTTCCTCCACGAAGACGACCAGAGTCTGCCCCAGCTGAATCCTCCCCATCAAAAGTAAGTTAGGAAAAAAAAAACAGGGCATTTTTTTCTGGGAGCAGAGGGCAGAGTATCACAGAAAAGTAACTCTTAAAGACAGTACATGTATTTTTAAGGAACTGTATGTGAGATAGTGAGCAGCCTTGTATTTCAAGCCTTCACATCTTTGCCTCACTATGTCCTGATCCCAAACTAATGAAAATTAACAAGTGGGACCTAAATTTAGGGATAGAAATGTCTCTTGTATATTGATCCACTCTGCTTAGCCCCTCACACTGCCTGTGAGAAATTGAGGCTTCAGGTAGATGTTTCCATCTGTGATAATTGCCCCAGAGTGTCATTTGGGATGTTGTGAGTGGGGTTAAATAACTGAAGAACAGTAATGATTGGAAGTGATGTACACGCCTCAGTCCTTTCTAAAGGTTTGTTAGAATATTTGACCCTGATGCTGTGGTGCTCGTTGCTTGCTTTCCCTTGTTGATCACCTGTCCTGCTTGCCTGCTTGAGCCATTGCCACATTTTCCTTTTGCATTTGTCTGGCATTTTGAGTCTAATCCAGCATTTCTTGCTGACAATGTCAAATGCCTCTCAATTTCAGTGAGACCTGGTTTGTGACTTCCAAGGACTGGGTGTATTTGAAAATCCCACTCAAAATTATTTTGGAGCATATGTGTCTTTGAAGAGGGCTTGTATGTGGCAAGTTGTTTTCAGACTAGAGGTCATTACGCTGTCAACCAGCAGAGTTTAGCACATCATCCTCCTACCAAAATGTCTTTGAAAACATCATATACAGGATAGGGTGTTGGATACCCTGTCACTGTGGTCTGCAGCTTGGGAAATGTTCATTTAAATAATTCTTTGCTTTGAAAGAAAAAGCAAATTTCAATTGCTTTGACCATTCTTTGCTTTTGCCATTCTTTCTGCATCTTCATTCCTTCCATCCTTGGCTGTCAACTCACATAGTGATATACCCTTGCTCTCTCCCTGTGCATCTCATCTCTGTCTTTCCTGTCCACATCACTCTGAGAAACATATTTTTTAGGCACCACCACTCCTTTTGCTTCCTGACTCCCCATCTTCATTCTGCACCTGCTTGCTGTGCCTCCTTTTTAACTGGATGAGAGCAGCCTGCAGGGCAAGAGCTCTGCTTTCATTTCACAGCAGGGTCCTGTTTTATACCGCCACTCTAAAGTTTTACTGAATTAAATGTTTCTGTACCTCAGATTACTTCTGCACACCTGGACAGCCCACCAGCAATCCCTCCTAGGCAACCGACCTCCAAAGTGTATTCACCAAGGTACTCAGTGTCTGACCGGACCTGCATCTCTGACCCCCCTGAAAGCCCTCCTGTGTTACCACCACGAGAACCTGTGCGAACTCCAGATGTTTTCTCTAGCTCACCACTACACCTCCAGCCTCCACCACTGGGGAGAAAAAGTGAACTTGGTAACACCTTTTTCCCAAACAGTCCATCTCCGTTTACTCCCCCTCAGACACCTTCTCCACATGTAGCACGGAGGCATCTTCCATCACCGCCTTTGATACCACAGGACGTGGACCTCCATTCTGTTGCTGGACCACCCGTTCCTCCGCGACAAAGCACTTCTCAACATATCCCAAAGCTTCCTCCAAAAACTTACAAAAGGGAGCACACACACCCATCGATGCATCGGGACGGGCCGCCCTTGCTGGAGAACGCCCACTCCTCCTGAAGCGGCGCTCGCGCCGGGAGTCGCGTCTTCCTGGTGCTACGTCTGTTGCTGGCAATGGATGCACTGACCCTGGTGGTGCCAAGGAGCTGGGATGTGTATGCCAAACACTAAAAACTCTCCAGTAGATGGGAAATGCAATGTACAGAAACGGAATCGCAGAAACGGACGTTCTGGTGGCAAAACCGGTGAACTTGCTGTTCTTGTTTTAGCATGCAGGACGTTGGTCTAGAGTAATGGGACGACTGATTGTACCAGAAAACAGACTTGAGAGACAGACTTCTTTGGCCAATGAGCAGAGACTGTTTGTGTCATGATCAGTAATGTCCAGTACAGGAAGGAAAACAGTCTTGTACCCATCAGTTCCATACAGTGGCACAGTTTTTCGAATGAAAACAACATTATGCACTTTTTTAAAATCTCAAACAGGGAACTTTATAGCCTCCTTAATTTTCCTTTGCTTTACTCCCTGCTTTAAAATACCTTCCTAAAATTATGAGGCGGACTGTGAGGAAGATCTGTGGTACCTAACCAAGCTAGAATTAAGGCAAAGCACTGTATTACGGTCCTGTTTACAAGTTGTTACAATGAATAGTAGGGTGTACCTAGGCTTCACCAAAGAGGTACTTTATTATTATTTTCTGAAATATTATGGTGCCAGTTCAAAAATAAATTTTTGCCAGGAAGCATAATGTCTAATTATTGCTTTCTTTAGAGCAGATTAAAGTCTTACATCATTAAGATGACAGCAATTTTGTTTTAAAAAGCAGCACTATCATCTGAAGTCAATATACTACTGCATTTAGAAGACTGTTAATCTGTATTAGGTTGTGTCACATCCTTTTTAAGATTTACTGATAATCCATTTCATGGCTAGTAGCTATTCTTTTTCAGTCATGCCGTGAAAACAGTCACTTGTGAAAAGGAGCACTCACTGGTCAACTTCCATAGCTATTGTCATGTTTTACTAACAATAGGCTAATGAGCATACATAGAATTGCCTTGCGGTTGCATAAATCATGTGTATATAGTGAACATTGCATAAATATACTTGCAGATTGTTTTTAATTTAATTGAAATAAAGATAGATATATGTTTGGCTGACATACGTTAAATTATTACACGGACAAGTGTACAACTCGGTTTTTCAGTTGAGCCCTGAAGGGGAGAAAAGCACACGTTGTAGTATGTATTTTTCCTAGTTCAGTGTATGTATTTTAGTGATGAGAGTCTAAAGAGAAGTCGGTTTTGGCATGTGTTGCAAAGTAATAATTTAACAATGTCTGAGAAGCTGGGTTTCTCCCAAAGTGAATTTTTATAGGTTATAAAACGTTTCACGCCTCCTGTACAAATACTACAATTGTTAGAAAAATTCAAACATATTAATCTTTACAATAGCTTTCTGTGTCCAAAATATACCAGTATGTGTTCCGTTGTGTGTAAGCATCTTGACATGCACTATCCATAAACTTGTGTGCTGCTCTTCAGCTCTAGGCAATGCTGTCACAGTAATGCATGGCAGTTACTGAAGAAAAGAAGCTCGATAATCTCCACTACAATGTGTATGAGAAGCATACAGTACCTCACCTTCAGTTAATGTGGCTCATTAAAGTAAAACTGTGTCACTTTTCCACTTTGGAAGAAGAACACATTTCAGCCTCTTAGAAAGCTCTGTCATTAGAGGTGGTGTTAGTCAAATGATGATGCTTTTTTAATACTTTCTGCAGTGCCATTCATGTCTTCAGCATTACTGGTTTGAAACGTTTTCCTGGCAAAAGAACAAGAAAGTGAAGATCTCTAAATTTTGGCTTCAGAGGAGAACATTATATGAGAACTTTATAAAGCCCTGCAAGCTACAGGAGATGTAATTTAGGTTATCGATTCTTTGGATGTAAACAACATGATGGGCATACTGTTGGCAATATCATCTAAATTATTATCTTATTAGTGGATTGCAATGCAAAACATAAATTTAGACTTTCTGATCTGTATCTCCACTTCTAGGTGCTCTTGTCTGTTCTGTTTTGCAGCTGGGGCAGACCAGGCTGAAGGAATGATCTGGTAGTTAGGTTGCTCAGCTGGAAGGAGAGACCTCACATGGATCATGCTAATGAACAGGTTTCTTGAATACCAGGAGGCCTGTCTTTCCTTTTACAAGATGGAGAATGCTTTTTTGCATCTTTGTGGTTAAGGGTGAAAGTGCTTTACTGGTGAGGTAGTTGGGCAACGTGTGATAATGGCTGCCATGCAAGACTGTCTTAAATGCAATTTGGAGCCCAGCAGAATGGGCCAGTAATACAGTGCAGAAATCATGGTGTTGGCTCAGCAGCAAACAGGAAAGACAGGATGAAAATCAAACCTGTTGCATTTAGAATATGAGTTCTGAGTACAAATTCGAAGCATTCATTTTGCATTAATAATTATTTAATTTTGAGTGACTTCTTATTTGGACCACGTTTACATTCGTGACAATACTTTTCACATAAAAATTGAAATAATTTTAATGATGCTATCTGTCTCCTTGGTAATGTGACCCTGGATGATCTGGTGTGGTCTAGGAAGACGAAACAAGGAAACATGCTTGTGTGGAGGCTCTGTGGGTTGCTGTGTTACTCCAGGGCTGATGCATGGCTAAAAGTCAGCCTAAGCAACTGCAGACTGTGTGTGCAGGGTAATAGAAGGCAGCAGAACTTGGGGCAGTACTTAATTTGTGCTGTTTCACCTCAAGGTTTCCTCATATGTAGTCTAGTGCAACAGTGGAGCGTAACCAGGGATTGTTCATTTTCTTCCAGAGTGTCAGTGTTGTGTGTTAGCTCAGAAAAGCCCTGTGAGAATTTGGAAGTACTAAGATTCCAAGTGCAAGGTCCTGCACCTGGACTGGGGCAGTCCCTGGGACCAATGCAGGCTGGGAGATGGAAGGATGGAGAGCAGCCTTGTGGAGGAGGACTTGGAGGCTACAGGTACATGAAAAGCTGGACATGAGCCAGCTGTGTGTGTTCACAGCCCGGAAGGCAACTGTATCCTGGTCTGTGTCAAAAGAAGCATGGCCAGCAGGTCAAAGGGAGGTGATTGTGCCCCTCTGCTCTGGTGAGACCTTGCCTGGAGTACCATGTCCAGCTTTGGAGTCCTTGGCACGGGAAAGACATGGACCTGTTGGAGTGGGTCCAGAGAAGGGACATAAAAAAGATCAGAGGGCTGGAATACCTCTCCTGTGAGGAAAGACTAGAGAGTTGGGGTTGTTTAGCCTGGAGAAGAGAAGGCTTCAGGGAGACCTTATTGTGGCTTTTTGATACTTAAATGGGGCTTGTAAGAAAGATGGGGGCAAACTTTTTAGTAGGGCCTGTAGAAATATGACAACAGGTAATGGTTTTAAACTGAAAGAGATAGATTTAGATTAGATATAAGGAAGATATTTTTTAGAGTGGGGGTGATGAAACACTGGAACAGGTTGTCCAGAGAGGTGGTAGTTGCCCCATCCCTAGAAACAAACATTCAAGGTCAGGTGGGACAGGGCTATGAGCAACCTGATCTAGTGGAAGGTGTCTCTGCTCATTGCAGGAGGATTGGACCAGGTGTTCTTTAAAGGTCCCTTCCAACCCAAACTGTTCTATGCTTTTGCAACTGCCATGCCTTTATTTCTGTTCAGCATGCTGTGTGGAACGTCAGCCACGGTGCTGCCTGGTGATCCTGAGCTCTGTGCTGTTCTCGTGACATTCAGCAGCCTCTGCAAAGTTTTTCTCTAACTGTCTGGAGAACATTATCCTGCTTCAGGATCAGTCCTGTTGGAAGCATTTGTGTGCTCCATCCTCAAGAAGCCATCTCCAACATGGGCTAACCTATTTCTCTAATACACCCCTCTTAAATCGGGGAGGGAGAGATCTGTTTTCAGAATGTTTATGTTAATGCACTGGATTTATATCCTTTGAGATTTAGATTGGCATCACAGGATGTTTCATTATGTTTCTTCTACGTGTATCTTAAATTAGGCTTTCTATTGAATTTGGTCTGATTCAAGCTTCATAATGTCCCTGGAGGTTACACTGTTGAAGAGAGTAGATTATTGTGCTCCAGGGAGGAGGTTTTACTGTGTTAGGTACAAAGAAGTTTCTTTACAGCCTGAAGAGGTGCTGGAACAAGCTTGCAGCAGGCTGTGTGGTGACACCAGTGCATTATAATAAGCATCTGTTCCCTTCTTTTTGGCTATTTTCTCAACCTAGTGTGGCATTTTACAGAGGCAGCCTCTTCTACCGGTATTCCTAAGAATTGATGCAATTTAAGCTCAACTAGAAAGAGCCCCTAGTTCCATGAATGTTTGTCTTACAGATTTTGAGAGTTCAAAAAAATGCTTCTTAATACTTTGCTGCTGTGAAATGTACAATTAGCTGCAGTCTGTAAAAGTCCCTCCTTGACTTTCTCCTTTTCCCGTCAGTAAGGAGGGACTTGTGCAAAAGGACTGTTTTAAGATGATATTAAAAGTTTGCAAATTCTTACGTCACCCACATCTCAAAATGCCCTTTATTAATTGCTGAAGTGTCATTTCAAAACCTAGATGATGCATGGGCTGAAGGTTTTTTGGCTCTTATTCATTATGGAGAGAAACCCATGGCCCAGTATAGCTGTAAAACCAAAAGTGCTTTTAGCTTACTTTGTAAATGCCGTGCCTTATTTTCCTTTTTTTTTTTTTTTAAAAAAAAACAAACACCCTTAAGTGCATCTTTCTGTCAACCGTGAGCAAATTTCCCTTTTGTCTTTGGTGGACAATAGCGTGTTAAGTAGCCAACTGCTGCATCACTATAAGGCAAACAAAGTAAAGAGTAAGTCACCTTTTTTTTTACTTTCTAGCCAATACACGTGAAATTTGTTGAAAACTGCATGAAGTGGTTGAAAAGTTAAAAGGGAGAAATTAAAAAAATAATAATTTGCCAGATGCATGACAATTGTAGTAGCTGCCAAGCATACTTCTTCTCGAGGAACATCTGTAATATTGTTAAAAAGAGGGGTAGGTGAAGGTAGATGACCAGGGTGCGTATTGCTGGAATTGCTTTGGACAAATTTCTTAGAATTGACTTTAGAATAACCCTTTTTTTATTTGTGAAAAGAACAAATTATAGGTTCCAGTAAGCTTG